TTTGAAATGCCCTAAACTATATGCCTTAAAGACATTTATTAGGAGGTCTCCCCCCCCCCCCAAAAAAAAAAATAATAAAAAAGCCATATCGGTGAAGTTGCATTATTTAATTTTTTTGTTTACAATTTTAACACACCTGTAAACAAACGAAACAAAAGCATAAAATGTGAAAAACACACGTCACTCAAAATGCAGTCCTGAGTTAAACAAATGTTATTCATTTATCACTGGTGAGATTTAAACCAGAATCAACGACTTGACTCATTTCAGTCTGTAGTGTTTTCCATAAATTTGTTGTATTTTTATTAATATTTTTCTTTCAGCGAGTCCACTAACTCGTGGACTTAGCTGCAGTCTGAGACCTTGGACTTGTGAGTCCTGATTCAGTGATAATTTAAATCATTAAACCTGGTGAGTCAGTAACCGACCAGCTGTCACCACGGGCCTTTACCTGGGGGAATAAAAAAAATTGTTCTGATTGTTATTTCATCCTTAAGAAGTCATTAAAAACGGTTATTAGACCTTTCTTTTCTTATATAAACCATGGTTAGGACCTTTTCTGTCGCTGGACTTTACTTCATGTTTGTGTGAAAACTCAAGTCTGAAAGGCCGAAGTTAAAGTGAGAGTTCTGTTCATTAAAATGCAACTAAAAGAGTAAAATGAAAAACTTTCTTTAGCATCATCACTTGTTTGATCAACAATGTTTTTTTTTTGTCAAAGTAACATTTTATTCTATCTCAGCTTCAAACAACACCTTCTTAATAAATCTAGTAAATTACTAGATTAACTAGCAGTAATGTAATGGTGAGTCTTGCAGCCAGACCAGCTCAGAACCACTGTTCTTAATGTTGTTTGCATGAGATGTTTGTCAAGGTTTGACCAAAACGACTAGAACTTCTTGACATGGAAGATGATGGGCGATAAGCATTCCTTCAAGGGATGTTGGGTTATTCATTTCACTAATCCTCACCCATGACTTAAAACCAGTTTCTTTGCAGTTAAAACAAATCTAAGGTGCAATAAAAGGTAATTTTAGACAAGTTTTATTGAGTACAAACATAACAGTCTGTGATGAGCTGCTGGTGTAAAGAACAAACAGGCTGATTAAATCTCAGTTAACAGACTGATCACTTCTAGCAGTGCAAAGCCTCAGAAAACAGATCACTTCAAACTGTACGAACTCAATGGGTGTTTGCCTGCAACTTAACAGACAAAAAAATAAAAAAATATGAAAAAAGACCAGAATATATGAGGAATATTATTTCTCATTAACCAATTTATCCCAGTGAAACTTTGACAGAACACATTCTGCTGTAAATTTCACCCTTAAACTATTTTCATTTACATCCTGTAGGTTTGTGTATTTTGCTGCCAGCAACAATTTCACAACCTGGCTACATCTTTGACAAGCCAAAATTAAATTAGGCTTCCTTTTTTTGTTGTTTTTGTGAATCAACAAATGGAATTTGCCTTCAGCGGTGCAGTGAAACTGGACCGATGCAGCCTGAAGTGAAACTACGGCTGTTACAACACAACCTTCTCAATTCTTGTTTAAAAAAGTTCCTGGTCATCCCCGTTTCACAAAGAACTGCTGCACTCACCACAGAAGACAAGACCCAGGTGACACGGAGTAAGAACATTATTTTGAGGAATTGTACAAAAATAATACAAAGTATGTTTCAGGACTGAACATTTGTTTTGTTTTTAACAATGCAATTAGAAGAAATGGTGGAAATTAATTTTCCAGATGTAACCCGATTTGTGTAAGGCTGTTAAATCTCCACGTGGGAGCTATAAATCTTTATTAAGTCAGACGTAACAAAGAAAGACAGATGGAGTTAGATTAACAGAGTGACTACAGACATTTATTACACCATTACAGAATATTTCATATTTACATCAACACTGCAGAGAGAAAAACCTGAAGAGACACTTTTACATAAAGTATGACTGTTAAACCACAGCTGGATGAGAGGAAATATAAAGTGAAGCGCAAAGGCACAATCAGCTGTAAGACTTCTTACATCAGCTGTAAGACTTCCTTACATCAGCTGTAAGACTCCTTATATCAGCTGTAAGACTTCTTACATCAGCTGTAAGACTTCCTTACATCAGCTGTAAGACTCCTTACATCAGCTGTAAGACTCCTTACATCAGCTGTAAGACTCCTTACATCAGCTGTAAGACTCATCAGCTGTAAGACTCCTTACATCAGCTGTAAGACTTCCTTACATCAGCTGTAAGACTCCTTACATCAGCTGTAAGACTCCTTACATCAGCTGTAAGACTCATCAGCTGTAAGACTCATCAGCTGTAAGACTCATCAGCTGTAAAGTGTCTTACTTCAGCTGTAAGACTCCTTACATCAGTTGTAAGAGGTATATCAGCAGGTCAAGGATGTTCTTAAAAAAGCTTGACTTCCCATCAGTCTGAAGTATTAAAACGCAACATTTTATTTGTTATTCAGAAGAACTTTTCCAGCATAAAATAATCTGCCAAAAATGAAAATGACAAAAGCATATTTAGGTCTTTTTCTTTGTTTGTTTGTTATTAAATAGCTGTTAAGCCTGAAATGGAAGAAATGACATGAAAGCAAAGTGTTTTTATCCACAAATCATTTCTGCTTCATGAATAATTAAATAACGTCTCAAAAACAATATATGATACAATAAATTTGATTACACAACAAACAGGATTCGAGTCAAACAATTTTGATCAATGACGAGTTCGGATTCTCAGAAACGTTAAGATGAGACAGCCCCTCGGATTCCTCTCTCACACGCACACACGCGCACGCACGCACGCACACACACACACACACACAC